TGCTGCAGAAGGGGGAGGAAACGGTCTGGGGTGGGATTGGGGGAGAGGCGGCGCTGTGGGCATGGCTGCCGTGCCGTGTCGTGTCCCCCGCACGCTTGATTCACCCTCCCGAAGCCGGGCGCCGAGCCCCGCAGCCGCGACGCCTTCCCTCCCCGCGGGGCTGCACCGGCCAGGCCAGAACCAGGGGTGGTCGGGGGGGGTGAAACCTCCCTTTTTAAGTGCCCCAAAAGCTGCCCTCAGAAAGCAGGAGCCTCAGTTTCTTTCAGCGGTGGCTTTTGGCAAAGCTCAGGCTCAGCCACTTTGGTTTAATGGGGCTATTCCAGAAGGAGCAGAAGGCTGCGTCCCGCTGAAGAAGCCTTTCCAGGGGGGTGGAGGTACCGTTCCAGCCAGCACAAACCCACTGCCTTGAAAAATATTTCCACAGCGCCCTTTTAAAACCATTTTTCCATCCAGAGATCAGGCTCTTTATTTAAGCTCTGGACATATTTATTATTTAGCGTCATTATTTATAATTCACCAGCGTGATTTACCCCCTTCTGCCGTCCTGAGGCAAGGCACAAAGCCCGCGGGGTTCTCTCCTTTTAACGCTTTGCTGGACTTTACGGCTTGCCTGGGGTTTTTTTTCTTTTTTTAAATAACAGCTAAGGTTTCTGTTGTACCCTTCATCCGGAGACCCCAGAGCTCCCTGTCGGCTGCAGCCAGCCCTGGGTGCCACGGCTACAAATCTGCTTTTCCCAGGCAGGGACTTGAACCCCCCCCCCCCCGGGGACTCTGAGGTTTGGGGGTGCCGGATGGGAGAGCACAGGAAAGGGGGGTGGAAGGCACCGCCTCGCCGGCTGCTTCGCGTCCTTCATCCCAGGGATGGAGCAGGGCTCAGGGCAGACAGACAGACAGACAGACAGCCCTTGGGATGAGATGCGCCATCTCCCCGCCGCCGCTGGGGCGTCCGGTGGCTCCTGGGGGATGAAGCTCGATGGGTCCAGGGCTGAGCCCCCTTTTCCACCGCAGCACCCGGCTTTGGATGGGTCACGGGGAGATGGTGGCTCCAGTTTGCTCCGTGCCACCCAAGGCTGCGGCTTTCCGTCCCATGAGGGCACCAGACCTCCTTTTGGGACAACCCCCTGATTTGTGGGTGGTACCCTGGATGCCGAAAGAAATAGGGCTGGAGGCGGGGAAACCCAGTCTCTAAAGTCACGATTTTAGAGCAGTTTCCCCCACCAGAGCTTTGGGACCGGGTAGTGGCCAGCACCCTGCAGGATGGGGCCCCAGGAGGTTGCTGCGTTTGCTCTGGTGAAGGACACGATGTAGAGATGATGTCTGGCAAAAGCATCGTTCCCCTTCGGCACCTTTAGGGCTCGTGAAGCCCTTCAGCTCCAGCTTGGAGAGGGGCTGGGGGTTACAGCCCCTCGGCCAAATCCTGCGGCCTGGAGCGGCCACGCATCCGAGCTCCCAGGGTGCAGGGATGCCTGGCTCTGGCATCTGAGAGCACCAGACCAACCTTAAATGTTTAATTAAAAGAATTAATGGGCACCGGGGCAGGTCACGGCCCCTATTTTCTACCTCAATCGCTGAGCAACTGCTGCGGTCGGGTGGGAAATAACTTTTGTCCCCATGGAGGCTGGGGTGCCCCAGCTCCTTTGGGCTGGGGCTGCCCTGCCCTCGCTGCCCCAAAGCCACGTGCTCCTTGCAATTCCCACGTGAGAAAGGGGGCAGATCTCGGACGTGGCCCCAAGACCCGGCGGGTGTGAAGGCAATCCCCCCCTTCCCCGCGGCAGATTCAGCGGAGCGCCTACGCCGTGGCCTTCGACGAGCGCTTCTCCATCCCGCTGGACCCGGCGGCGCTGGAGGAGAACAGCCTGCGCTTCTCCGTCTTCGGCATCGACGAGGACGAGAGGAATGTCAGCACCGGCGTGGCCGAGCTCAAGCTCTCCGACCTGGACCTGGCCACGCGTCCCTTCAACGCCTGGCTCTACCTGCAGGACATGAACAAGGTGAGCGGGGGATGGGGGAAGGGTGTCCGTGTCCATCTCCCACCCAAGTTTTTTGAGGGGGGTTCTCTCCCCTGCCAGGCTGGGATTAATGGGAGATGCATGTTGTGTCCCGCAGGCGGTGGACACGGTGGGGGAGATCCTGCTCTCCCTGAGCTACCTGCCCACGGCCGAGCGCCTGACGGTGGTGGTGGTGAAAGCCAAGAACCTCGTGTGGACCAACGGCAAAGTGACCGCAGGTGAGCAGGGGATGGCTGGTGGGCACAGGGGTCCTTTGGGCTTCTCCAGGCTGGAGGCGGGCTTTCATCCTGGCTTATCCTCCTACGCTACACGGCTTTTATTGGAGAGGCTCCCATTGAGGAGAGACCCTACCAGGAGGGTCCACCAGAGATGGGTTCCCTCATTTTCTCCACGTGACTGATCCTGGGGTTTTTCTCTCCCCCGACCCTGAGCAGATCCCTTCGTCAAGGTGTACCTGCTGCAGGATGGGAGGAAGATCAGCAAGAAGAAGACAGCGGTGAAGAGGGATGACACCAACCCCGTGTTCAACGAGGCCATGATTTTCTCGGTGCCGGCCATCGTGCTCCAGGTCTGTCCTGGCTCGGGGGGTACATCCCAGCCTGG